CTTCCACATCCGCGAAATTGACTAACCTATAAATCTGTATGCACATTTATTAAATCTTCTTTTTCGCTTATCTATTGCACCTTATAATTATAAAAGTGTGTGTGTGTGTGTGTGTGAAAATCAATGATTTGCAAAATATGCTTAGTTAGTTGGTTGGTTAAATGGTCAGTTATCTTATTGATTTCTGGGTGTCTTCTTCTTTAGGAATTGAAAATTGGTCAGTCAATATGCACATATATACAGCCTCTTATGTGTACACATACAATAATGTGCACTCCTCTATATTACTGTATTCATAAATTTATTTCTGTTTATAATTCAATTAGGCGAATAAGCAGTGATATTCGTATGAGCAACTGCAGGCTTACTGACACTTAATCCTTATGAAGTATTATTATTATTTCCTTTAATTCCTAGAGGAACATAGGGCTTCAGCTGCACGTTTCCATTGCGTTCGGTTCTCTGCTAAAGTTTTCACCTGACCCCAGTTCTGCCCACATGCTTTCATCTCATCTTCGCATGACCTCCTTCAAGTCAGCCTCACACTGACGACCAACTCGCCGCTTCCCTTTCGGGTTCCACTCGAGTGATGGCTTTTCTAGTAATGCCACTTGATGGTTTCCTCAGAGTATGGCCAATCCAATCCACCTGCATTTCTTCCTGCTTATTTTTTTGCACAATCGGTTCCTTCTGGGTTGGTTCGCTCATTGCTAGAGATCCCTGCTGCTGATCTTTTCTGGCCATCTTGAGTATTGAGTGAAGACAGCTGTTAATAAAGGTCTGTAGTTTTTTGAGATGCTCTTTATGACGCGCTGGCCAAATCTCTGATCCATATAGTGAGTAGCACTGGCTTCAAATTAGAGTTGAAAATCCGAATGGTATTTTTAATGCTGAGTGGTGTTGACCTCCACACAGACTTGAGAGTAATGGAAGCTTGTGTTGCTTTCCCGATCCTTGTTTTGATATCCTTGTTAGTTCCGCCTGTAGTTGAAACGATGCTTCCCAGGTAATAATAATAATAATAATTCAGATTTATGTAAGACAGAGATAAAGTTACGCAGCTTGTTTAGGAAGCATTTGGAATCAAGTGTCTGAACTCCTAGGTCATTAAATCGTTTTCAGCAACATCCCAAACTATATTGATCAAAAATATTGAACAGGTTCTAGTCATATTAGTTGATAACATTGTATTGGATATTAGAAATAACGGATATCAACTAACATCACTGCTTTTTGAGCCTGTCGCTAATCTTTTAATTGACCTAACTGTGGACAGGGATACCTTCTTCAAGAACTGGGAAGAAATTTGTTAACCACATTGTTCACTTTACATATTTTGGCAGTTGGGTGATTCCCTATCAATTGATTACGGAACTAATCCTTTTCGTTGGTGTAAGTAGTTCGTTTGCTGTTTGCAGGAATACGCTATGTGTGCTGCTTGACTATCTTTCAGAATGAAAGTATTTCCCTTTCCGTACTAAGCAATTAAAAAACATGTTTTTATAGAGCTGAAACACACTAAACCTTATATCAGTTTCATATATACAATAACACCATAACACGTGTTATTTGTAGGTTTTACGTTGAAGTGATTTAACAGCCAGTCATCTTGATTTCTCAGTAGATAAAGAGGATAAGACATGATAACTAAGTATCTAATACGGTCCTACAGGAGATCAATTGCGAGCCCGTATAGCTCAGTGGTAACGTCTCTGATTGAAGCACTCGGTAACACGGGTTCGAATCTCAGAAGGGAAATGAGTTCCTTTAAGATTGCAGATATGCCTTGCTGGTGGTTGCCAATAAGCACGGAACTTAGGTCCAAGGTTTCCTGCCAATTGCCTCCAACCATCTAATAACAAAGCAATAGCCATGCTGATTCACTGCTCAGTAGTAAGCATGATGATAAATGAATCAAGATGATCTTGAACAAATTGTGTAGATTACTCGATGCATTCTTTCCCATTATGAATGTTGCTGATTTTCGTTGTAAATGATATAGAATAGCATAAGCAACTTTGCTGACAACTATTAGGTCTCTATCAGCCGTAAATGAATGGCCTATCCTGTGTAATTTAAAACCAACTTTAGTGATTTGAATGCATTGGTTGCTTTAGGCTTCTGATTCTTTCGCATATTTCCTCTGTATCTTCAAAATGATTCCTTTTCTCAAAATTAATTTAAATTTGTTTTTGTAAAGGTTTTGACAACATGTTTGAAACTTATTACTGTTCTATCTATAAACGTACTTGTTGAGCCTAAATTAGGCAGTGTTAGCCGAGATAAGATTAGGTTGGAAAGTAGATACAGGTAATTATACCAATTCACGGGGTCTCTGACAGTGGGTTCGAGTCATTTAGGGAAGTTTGGACCGGCTGACTGTAGTCCCGAATGACTAAGAATTAATGAGCGGAGAGTGCTGCCAAAATGGTTCAAAATCATTCTCAGTGTCACAGATGCATTCACACTTTGCGGACTGGAAGGTTCATTAAATTATTACTACTTCCCATTTAATTATTCTTCTCCCGAAAACATCTCAGTTCATTACAGTTTATCTAAATTGCGTTTTTTATACATTTGTATATGTGTGTGTGTTCCATAAAGTGTATGAATTTAAACTGGTGTACTTTACCAGAAAATTCTACATTGAACCTCAATCAGTTGGTCGGATGACTTACTTATCGATAATTAGAATTGTTAGAAGCTTTTTATCTCTTCCTATCAATCTCTCACATGTGATGTGCACATAAGTGTTCGTTACGTTTATTCGGTTGATGTATGTATCGGCTACTTTGTAGCGACTGCATTTTAACACTTGAAATACGTCAAGGGAGTTTCAATTGGATCATAAAAATATAGTCAATAAAATCTCAATTGTTTGTTATTGAAACTATGAGACTTATTTTACACAGAGAAATGATTTGAAGAAAATTGGTGAGTTCTACGGAAGTAAACAATATTAAACACAAAAGTCAACACTTAAAACTACCACAAATTCATAAGCATACACCATCAGACACGTAGAATTGAAAGAAGGTTACTATTCTAATTCAGCTATTTCAGTATCTTAAACAGGGGATAATCTGTCCATTTATTTGTTGAATACATTTTGAGGAATCCCTCAAAGTAGAGAATAGTCAATCGGTACCCACCATTACCTGATATCTTTCATGTTGTGCTTTGGATATAATCAATAAACAGTGTACTCATTTAATCTTCACAACGTCGATCATTGGAGGAGAGAGAAGCTGGTATGTGGCATTGCTTGTTGTCTTTATGTTTTCATTTTTTACTACTTTAATATTAATTGTAATTCACAGTAAGTTGTTAAATGATGTTATTGTCAACCATTGTGGTCCGATTTATTGATTCGTTATTTTCAGCCCGTGACTGTCTTAAAGGTAGCGGTTGTTCCGAAGGCTTTTGAGCGAGCTGGTTCAATTTGTAAGAATAAAAATTTAGAATAGCTTTAATGACCATGCTCGATAATATAAAATATTTACCTAACCTACATCACTGACAACTGTTTTGAAAATATTACTCATCATTACTTCGAGGAATAATGGCACACGAAATACTTTCATCTTCAGAAGTTAGCATATATATATATATATATATATATATATATATATATATATATATATATAGTCATTTGTAGCTGTCTGCTGGTTTGTGCTCCAAATACATGAGTATTTTCTATTTGAATTCCTTTTTTTCTGTAGTTTGGTTTGTAATGGTTAGTTATGTTTTTACGAGTTGATCACAGATTGTTATCAATCAGAGAACCATTGAAAACCAGGGAGTACTAGACAGTTGCCGTTTCATCCTAGTTTGGGAATCACCGGCAGTACGCACCTACTGCCAGGGTTCGAACCCATGACCTTCCGGTTACAAGGCAAGCTCGTATACCATTCAACCACTGGGACCCGATTCAATAGCTCATGACAAACCAAACTATAGAAAATTAATCTGATGCTCGCTAATGACTTGCTACAGGATGGGGTTTCCTGGAGTTCTAGTGAGAAGTCGTGACCAGTGAGGTTCGATTAGATGCCACGTGTGTGGATGGATGTCTCACCGACGACAATGGTTGGGGTCGCGCTAAATCACGAATTAGTAGAATTTAGAGTTCATGGACTGGCCATTGAATGGGGTCCCAGTGGCTGAATGGTATAAGAGCTTGCCTTGTAATCGGAAGGTCATGAGTTCGAACCTTGGCAGTGGGTGTGTACTCCCGATGATTCCCAAACTAGGATGAAACGGCAGCTATCCAGTACTCCCTGGTTTTCAATGGTTCTCTAACTGATAGCAATCCATGATTAACTCGTAAAAATCCCTTTCTTGAAGAGTTGTTTTATATGATCGCTTTTGGTTATGTTAAAGGTTTAGTTAACAGTATAATTGAATACCTATCTGAAAACAGTCATAGAGGATTGTGAAAAAAACAAGGTTATTTGATGCATCAGAGTTTCATAATTGTTAAAGAATAGTTTTAATTACCCTTACACAAGTATATACCACATTTCTTCGGTCGTTACATATTTGTGTATTCTTTTGCCACCTGTTTAAATTATCGGGCTACCTTTCTATATAAAACATCAAATTTGATGTATTTCCTGATACTTTATTGATTCTCTCAAGTCTTTGAATAACACTCTATGCTCATCTGCGTTATAACCTGACTTGCAACCGATGACTGTGCATTTCTTGAAGAGAATCAAGGCTAAACATTGTAAAAGATTACAGAGTGTTTCAGGCTGAGCAGTAGTTCATCGAATCATATGCTATCTATCAATATTTCTTCCTTGAATTTTTTGTCCAAGGAATGTGCATTTTCCTCAATAATAATAACCAGTTTTCTATAATGTATATGCATTTGAAGTACTGCTGTAACGTTTAACTAAGCTATTATACTGTATTGTATTTGATTACTTTAAGTGATTAAGTTTTGACCGAAATTAAGTTAATTTTCTACATTTCTTTGTCGTGTACTATTTTAGCCTTCAGACTCTATTGCAAACGATGGCTCCAGCAATTCAAATTTAACCAGAGTCTCTCATAAAGAATATGATAAAGATTTGCAGTCTTCCATCTTATCGACTGCAACAAATCATATACACTTGAATAATTCATCGAGTACAGCTCCATCATCTCCTGTCGGTGGTGTACAGTCAATTCGAAAGAAATACAACTCAATAGCTCATTCATCACCGCCTCCATTGCAACCACAGTCAGGACATAATGTTACTCATCAAAATTCGAAAGATGGACAATTTCAACAATCTCCAGCTCAGTCACCAATACCTAGCGATAAAATGAGTTCTCCGTCAATGAACAATGCCAATGTACTGCGTGAGAAAACGCGTACTAATGGTACAACAAATTTACAATCAGATGTAAACGGACAAACTGTTAAATACTCTACTCAAGAAAATTCTCGTATTAGATCTGAAGTTAGAAAACCGCGTTTAGATGGCTTGAAAACTGTGGACACTTTAACTTCTGGAAGTCCTGTATTAACATCTTCTTCTTCATCTACTGCTAACAGTCCAATTTTATCTCATGCAGCCTTATCTAATGCTCCACCAACTAGTCCTACATCAGGAACAGCTCATCAACCATGGCGTGTAAAATTAAATAACTTGAAAATGTCATTTTTAGGTTCACCAAGATTTCACAGGAAAAAATCATCACTTATTCATACAACTGATCAGTTGAGTGAAACTCCTCCGAGTAGTCCAAATTCTTTTTCACAAAGTCAATGGAGAAACTCAGGACGTTCATCTGGTTTAGAACCTTCTCCCTTGTAAGTGATTAAATTAATTATTATCTTACTTTATTGCAACTCTTATGATTGTCTGATAATACTGACTTTCGTGAACAAACTCTTTCAATAGCCAGTCCTGGACTAAATGAATTAACCTCAATAATTTCTAAATACTTTATGAAATATCATGACTTTGAATCTTTTAAGTTAAATCTAACTCCCAACTGGCAAAGATAGAATAAAGATAGACAATATACATTGTAACATAAATGTGAATCGCTTGAAGTGGCAGTAAGAAGATAACATAAAGCAAGTATGAGATTTTAACTTCCAGAAGAATTTGACGATTAAGATGTTTGATTGCTTGAGAAAGGTAAACAATAAATGCATACACGTTACGGTTATCGATTTGGAATTGTGTGTTTATCACTAAACTAGCATCTTTTTTAATAATAAACAAGTGAATTTAAATAAAATATTTAGTTTTAATACAAAATGGTCTGTTCCTCCTTTTAAATCTCGGTAATAACATGAAAACACGTGGATTTATTATAACGGACAGTAAACTTCTGAAGCAAGTCTACTTCCCCCACACTTAAATGTACAATGAGTGGAAAGGATTTCTTAATGGAGTGAAAATTTCCTTAAAATTATTAATTGTGGCCCAAGTGGTCGAGTGGATAACCCTTTGCATCGGTGGCTTAGTGGTTAGGACGCTCGCCGACCGTGCACGTGATCCGGGTTTTGATCTTTGGACGACTCACTCCTTTACCTCAGTTAATATAAGTCAGTAATATAACTGACAAAGAGGGAAGGTTGGGCCTCTAGCTTGAAGCCCTATGTTCCACTGGGAACGTGAAGAAATAAAAAAGTAAGCAATTGTATATATCATAACTAAGAGTCTATAACTGATCTATTTATTTAACATATATGCTTAAATATTCTCTTACTTATACAAATTTTTTTTTTTTACTTTAGATTAACGCATAAATCATGGTTCAATGGTTTTCTGACAGCAGCCTCTGGTCATGTGATTACTAAAGGCAGTCAACATGCAGCTAATGCAGCCGCAGCTGCACAAGATTCAGCTGCACTGGCGATATCAATTCAATCAAAATGTAAAGAAGAAAATGAAAAGATTAAGGAAGAAAATGAGCAAAGTGAATTACATCATGAAAAAGATACTAATTCGGATAAATTATCTGAACAGATTTCAACTAGTAGTGAATTAACAGAAAGTTGGAAGAATTCAAGTATAATATTTGATGGAAGTAATAATAGTAATAATAGGACTAATACTAATACTAATGTTACAGAGTCACAATATTCAACCTCTCAACCTTCATCACCATCATATTCAACAGTTTCAGATGGTGTAGTAAAGTCGCATCATCACTATCATCATACGCATCATTATCCACATCACAGTCAGTTACAACATCAATCACATCATATGGGTGCTACAACTGATACACAATTCATTTCTAGTCAATTGCACTCTTCAGATTTTACTTCAACTGTTAAACAGATTGAAAGACGAGGATTTAAACCATTCACATCTCCACTTACCAATACTGTTACTTCTACTAATAATAATAATGAAAGTAGTAGTGGTACATCAGGTGGTGGAGGGAATGCACCACCAGAAGAGACGAATCATGTAGTTATGGTAAAAGGTCGTGCACTGAACAGACTTAAAGCAGAACTTGTACAGGTAAGAGAGAGAGTCTATGGTGCCTAATGGTTATTTTTTTGCTTGTCTAAACTATCAGTCATATGGCTTTTTAGATAAATTGTTAATTTCAGATTAGTTTTGTAACCTTATTCTCTTTTTCCTGTTTCTATGCTTATTCGTGTGTGGGAGAAAATAGGCTGTGTCTGCATAATTGTCTGTCCATCGCTATTTGTAACTTTTTTTTTATCAGGAAAACTGTTTTCACATGATTTTACATTTCTGTATGCATATATTGAATAATCATCACCTGCTTGATTAATTCTCTAGACTAATTTAAATGTGACTTGCAAATAGTATTGTATTTTTTGTTACATAAATGTTTTACTTCAGAACTAGTCAGCGCTATATCAGTGTACGTGTATCGTCGTATAACGTGGTATTGGAAAGCGACACACTGTTAGTAATTAATTTTTAATTTTTGAAGATGTCTTATACTTCTGCAGTATACTGTCAATTTTAAAAGTGGCTTTCAGTAGACATTTCAGCTGTGAACCTGTCAAAATCCACAACTAACTTTACTGACCTGTATTTTTTGTGTCATTGAAGAACTCTGACAGTAACTGAATTTATGTAGCGGTCACTGTTCTACAAAAGTATTATTCAAAGTTTCTATGCTGTTGGACACCCCATCAGTCGTAGTAGATGAGAAATCTTGGTTTGTTTTCACTCGAAACACCTTCAAGTTACCATTTTATTATTATCCTAAGTTTTTACAATCTTCACTGAAAAAACATGATGTCAGCTAATTATTGAAGTATAAGAATAATACTCTGAATCATCATACGAACTACAGTTTGTTGATTTCAGCATTAGACTTTAAGAAAAACTGTTAGATTTCGTTTCAAACCGATATCAGGTAAAGAATGATTCCTAACGGAAAAGCTGTCGACACCGACTTTGTCCTAGTTTGGAACTTTTCAACAGTTCGCAACCATGTCCTCATCAGGGATCAGACTCATGACATTCAAGTTACAAGTCTAAAATGCTTAAGTGATAGACGTGTTTAGCTGGTAAACTAAGTACGGCTTACGATTTCATGAATGTGACAATGTTGAAGAGTCCTAAAGTGTAGTAACTTCGATTGCTGTAGTTTTGTGCAAAGTTCTACGTTAAAATTTCAGTTCTTGAAATTGAACAAAATAATGCTTCATGGTTTTCCATTATCCTTTAACTAAAGTCGGTTTGTAATGAGAATTGTGATGATATTCATGACATCTGTAGAAAACTACCGTCTGAATAGATATTTATCTCAATTGACAAATTCATTTCATTTTAGCAACTTCATTTTCACCCTATATTTTATGCATAAAGACTGTCTATATATAAACAGATAACCCAATACTGACGTGAACAGACTTAATTCAAATTAAAACAAGTGGTTTGCTAAAACACTTAGCTCTACACATGACCATTGCGTCGGTGGTACAGCGGTAGGACGCTCGCCAACCACGCCAGGTGGTTCGGGGTTCAATCCCCGGCCTCAGACGCACTCATTTACCTTATCAAGCCAGTAGTAATACTGGTAAAGTGGGAAGGTTGGGCATGAGGCTAGCAACCCCATCCTGTAAAAATAAACACCACAGTTACAGAGACGTCAAGCCTCTAGTTTGAAGTCCTATGTTCCACCGAGAATGTAAAGAAAAAAAAAATCATTGAATTTTGCCTGGTTTTTGGATACAATATTATAGATTCTGTGACACTTGTGTGATAACCAGAAACATTTTGGATGTCAACACTATCTAGGATGAGTTACTTACAAGGCTTCTGTATATGTGAGAGAAATGGTTTATAAATCTATCTCTGGCATATTATTTCGCTTTATTGGATGTTTCTTTCAACGAAATAGTATTTATTATTTACGGATTATTTTCTTGTTCACATATTCATAAAAATAAATGCATAAAATAATGACAATAATAATAATAGTTCCCTCTGGAGTAAACATATTTTTAAAAAGCTGATGTTCTCCACAACTTTATTTGTTTTAACCTTGTATTACCATAAAATCTAGAATTAAAGGAAGTGGATTATAATCTTACAGACGAATATCCCCTTTCATTTTGTATAACACTCTAACCTCCGTGTCTTTGGCATTTTGTGTGTGTTTTTTTCTTTTCTCACAAAAGGTGCACGTTATTTTCAGCCCAATAGAGAGACTTGATTTTTGCTGTTCGATAATTTTTGAGTGACATTTGATTTGTCTTGTTTTTTTTCTATACAAACGTTTTATATTCTTTGTGTTGATAGTGTTTCCTGTCCATGCTTAAAATAATTGCTGATTTATGTCAGTACTTTTATACCATTTCATCTAATTGTGTAATTATATGGACATTTCCCTTATCTTTCTAATACACTACTTCCTTTATGTTAGAAATGTTCTTGTTGTTGTTGTTGTTTTCTTTTTCTGCTAACGAGATCATAACTGTTTATCCAAAAACAAAAATCCCACGAAAGGTTTCAATTAGAAATGATATTAGCTGTTTCGTGGTTGCCTATTGTACATATTTAATGTACTGGTAAAAGACTAGTTGATGTGTCAAGCTTCCCTCACATATACATGTCTTAGGTTTCTTTTGTATTCCTTTACGTTCCCAGTGGGACATACGACTTCAAGCTAGAGGCATGAAGTTTCTTTAGGAATGATGTTTGTTTTTACGGGATGGGATTGCTAGCCTCATGCCCAACCTTCCCTCTTTACCAGTCTTACTAATGGATTAGTGAGATAAAGGAGTATGTCGACCGGGGATCGACCGCCGGACCACCGGCGTGGTTGGCGAACACTCCACCGCTGTGCCACCGACGCAATACATATTTTAGTAACTCAAATTAATGAATCATTCACACAGTAATCAACATAGTCGATCTTTTTGGGAGTCATTTAAAGAAATCTACAAGAGGAGGTATGATTTATATTTATATTTTGATCACAGCTTGATTCCACACCTTATTTTTGGGTACAAATATGGATTTTTCAGCATGTGATATCGGTAGCTCGAATTTTGCAGGCTGACCATAGATATTAGGAGTGCGTCGGCAGGGGATCGAACATCGAACGATGTGCATAGTTGGCGAGAGACCTAACCACTGTGCCTCCGACGCACATTTGTAACTTCAGTTGGTAGCCGAAAGTCATATAACGGGGTGGCTGTTATACTACAACTTCGCTCGTTAATTTAATTGCAGAAATACTTTTTACTATAGAATGGTATCAGCTTTTTATTCAAAATCTATATCAAGAATAGATCGTATTCAGAATTTAGAAAGTGGAGCTTTGTACTCTTTTGATATTATAATTTTGCATTCGGGGTTAAATCTTTTCATTATGATACAACATAACCTCTGTCAGAATGTTTGATAATAAAGATGAAATTCTGACAGTTCATCTTCTAAGAAATGTGTCACTACACTGTCTAGTATCTTAAATTCAAGCATATTATTGCATAAAGTACGCTACTTTAAACGCATTCCATAGCGTTTCCTTGCTTAGTTACAAAGATGAGAGAGAGAGTTAGTATAATAAATTATATTTCGATAGTTGAATCTGTATCAGGTTTATGATTTATGACTGTCAACAAAATGGAGTCAGTTTGGTTCATAATATTTCGTGTTCTACCTTAATTTTGTACAGAGGATGTATCGAAATGTCAATGAGTCACTGATAGAACTCTGTACACAGATAATAAAAGAGATGCAGTATTTTCATTCACCTTGGTGTTTTCTCCCTCCCTTCTGTCTTCATAATTATTAATTGTTCCATTATCTTGTGTGATATCGTTCCTTTGTTTTGCAATGTCAATAAAGTTACATCTAAGTTCGTGTTGGTTTCTAGGGATTTGATTGGTTACAGGATTTCATCATGAGCTGGCATCAGTTAGAGAACCACTTGAAAACCTGTAAGTACTAGATAGCTGCTTCGTCCTAGTTTGTGACTCTTCGGCAGCACTCACCGACTGCCAGGGTTCGAAACCGGGACCTTCTGTTTACAAGGCGAGCTCGTAGACCATTAAGCCACTGGGACCCGATCCAATGCTCAATGAATTCTTACTTCTGCCAATCACCACATACCACGATCCTTAGCCAATGTCTTCGGCGAGTATTTGTCCTCACAACCGACCTGCTGCACCCAACTGGTCACGACTTCTCAATAGAACCCCAGGTAACTACCTACCTGAATAAGGAAAGTCGCCCGTGAGCATCTCATCCGTATTCAAGTATTGGTTTGTAGGGATTTGATTGATTGGTTACAGGATTTCACTACACACATTCTTAATCTGTTTGATATTTTTATTAAATATTTAGTCTCTTTTTTGGTCACATTGTTGTAACGCAGTCTTAATCACAACAGTGTCTAAGAAGGCCATGAAGGCTTCTGAATTAAAACGCCTAGCTCAGAAAACCTAATAACACCAAAAGTTATTACCTCATAATTTACTGTAATATGGATGAGTCACTTGCTTGTGATTTCTGTTTTTGAAATTTGAATGAATAACCTGGTTTGAAATTATTTCTGTTGAGAACCCCAAATTTTCAAAAATGTAGGCCTTGTCAACATATTATTTAATAGTAGATGGCATGTTTTATCTCCTTCATTATTATTTTTATTATTCTCCATTGTTGTCAGGTCTTCTTAGCCACACCTGGTGTTGTTCATACAGTAATTTCACCAACTAGTTTTCGAGCTGAATATCGTCGTGCGGGTAGTGGATCAAGTTTACTTGCTCGACCAGTTAAACTACAAGTTGATATGGTTCGTGCAACTGGAGGGATTAGTACAGGTTCTGGACACCAGAACAATATCAATTCAATCTCATCTGAACGAGAAGTTTATGCAGTGAATTTCCAGTTATTATCAGGTGAGAAGGTTTGATTATACAACTTAACAATTTGGTCATAGTACATGTGAACTCTTTCCTTTGAACAATTAGTTTTCCCTTTTATTTTTTCAGTTGATATGACGTATTCAACAACTACTTTTTAAGTGTTCCAATTTTTTATCATGAATTAAATACCCAGTGCTTTAAACATAAAGATGATATTATTTTTTGAAGTTAAAGAATAGCCATTCTAGTTGTCATTGTAACCTGCCTTATAGCTTTCAACCATCAGTCAAGATAAAACAGAACTTGTCTACTGCATAACAGTTTGCTCTGTCCTTCTTAATGGTTGTGAAACATGGTTGTTGAAATTAAAAGATATAAGTAACATAGCAGCATTAAACCCCATATGTTTCTGCATTCTATCTCCCGAGTTAGGTGAATTAGTACTCTCATTAATAATGAAGTTATGTGTAGATTGTTAGTTAAGGCGGCGGGAAAATCAGTCAATGAGATTGTGAAGTTACATCTATCGAAATGGCTTGGACATGTGTTTCACATAGTGTCCTTCCTCGACAAACAATGTTGTCTGATATAGTACTTAGTTGCAAAAGAGTAAGGAATGATCAAACAAAAACTTCTCATCAATCCGCGAAGTCTTTGACCATTGGTCTCATCCACATAGGGTGGGTGGTGCAGAATGCCTGACTAGAGTCAGCAAGATACTGAAATTCATTTGCTGGAGGATGTGATGTTGACATGGTTAAAAATCGTTCACAATAGCCTTTATGTATGCTCATTCTTTGCGATCTCTTTAATCCATTAAATTCTAATTGTTCTCTATGTAATTAACTTTCCATTCGTACATTTCCCTTCGTCATTGTTTCTTTTCTCTAATTTTTTCTACCTATATGTGTACTTTTATAAAGTATGTCAACTTGAACTGCTGCACTTTTCTGCAAAAACTTCTACATTGAAAGTCCAGTTAGTCAATCCTAAAAGCAGATTGTAATCTTTTTCAGTGTTGTTATGTGCTGATTAGTTGATGCACTAATAAATGTATTCATTCTTAGGCGTATCATCTTAAAAATTGTGTTTTTACCATTTTCTTTCTTTTTATGGTAAAGGTGACTTTTTCTTCTATTCAATTAGGCGATTATTATTAGAAGGACTTAAGGTCAATTTACTGTTTAATATTTGAATTTTTATTCATGGTATTTGTTCTGTTGAAGTGAAAAACGCTAGACAGATCTAGAATATTTGCAATCATGGGTCAATTTCTGAAATCAAGAGACCGGACTACGTAATAATTCTTAACCGTATGCATATGTTGAATTTTAGGTGTCTGGAAACAACATCCCGTTTATACTAGGAAAAGAGAAAATATAGTTGGTTTTTTATTATTCAATGCTTATATGGTATATTTCATTATTTTGATGTAAATATTAATTTATCCATTTATCCTAAACAATTGTTTTTGAAATTATTATAATTATTATTTACCAGGACCAACCCGTCGGTTTAAACGTCTTTGTGATCAACTTCAAACAGCGCTTTTGTCCGGTGCTGCAAATCCAAGCTTTGTTGCTCACAGTACATTAAGTTCAGTTGGAGGAACAACATCAATTACGAGTGTATCTCCAACATCTAATATTGTTACAACAACTGTAAGCTCACTTACTTCATCTTCTGCATCATTAACCTCTACTACAAAAGGACATAATCATAGCTTAGATGAACAGCAGAATTCAGGACAAACTACTTCTGATTTACACTTTAACCAAAATCAAATTAATCAACCTCTACAGTCCCGGTCAAGTGAAGATGAATCAGTTTCCTTTTCAAAGTTTACTAATCTTGATGAGATTAGTTTTCAGAAAAATATAAAGGTATGACTATATATATATATATGTATACATTATTGTTCCCTTGGGTTCCGAGTGGAACATAGGGCATCAACAACATATCTCCACTTTGTTGTATTTTCTGATGTCTTCTTTATCTGGTCTCATGATTGCACATAATCTCTCATCTCCTCCTCACAAGATCTCCTCTCTGTTACTCTCGAACAACCCACTATTTTCCCATTCTGATTCCACTTGAGTGATGGTATGGTACGCGATGTCTTTCGGCGGTCTTCTCAGAGTATACCCGATCCATCTCCATTTTCCAATATATATATTTGTTGAACGATAGGCTCTTGGTTAGTTTGTTCCCACAGTTTGTTGGTGCTAATTTTTTCTAGCAAGCTGGCCATTTGATCTTCAAGTATGCAGCAAGTGAAGATGGAAGCTATTGATAGAATTCTGTAACATGATGGAAATGCTTTTCGTGTCGCGCAGTGCAAGTTTCTGACCTGTATAGTAGAACTGACTGACTTCATTGACATTTGTGTTGAAAATCCGTATCTTGTTCTTTATGCTGGCTGAGTGAAGCAGAAGATTTCCAAACCGATTTCAGAGTGAAGGTCTGTCTTGCCTTTTCGATTCTGGCTTTCATTCTTTCCACTGGTAGTTGAAACGATGCTTCCTTGGATAAGTGAAGGAAGTGGTCTTTTTCAGATTTCTCCTGTAGGTAGCGATTAGTGCTGTTTGTTGTAGCTGTTAGTTAGTTATCTATATCACCTCTGTCTTTCCTATCTGCACCTGAAGTCCTGTATTCTCTGCTTCTTCAGCCAGTTTGTTGGTTTCCGCAGGTCTTCGAGTTTGTACGAAATTAAACATAAGTCATCTGCAAAATCCAGACCTTCTAGAGTCTTCTTATTGGTCCAGCGTATTCTTGTATTCTCCCTTCTCAGGCACGGTGTTCTGCATAACTCAGTCCACTACAATTAGGAATATCATCGGTGATAAAAGACAGTCAGCTTGTCGTACTCCTGTGTTTACTTCAAACGTCTCGCGGAGCGAGTTTCCCGTTGTGGATCACCTGACACGTGGCATTTACATATAACCAGCTGTTGAATGAGGCTGATAAACACTTGGGCACTGCATGCCGTATAAGCAGTTTTCAAAATTACTTCTCTGACAACGCTGTCTGTTGAAGGCCTTCTCGAAGTCGATGGAGTTGAGGTGGTTTGACTGCCATTTTATGCTTTACTCTGTGATGTCGATGCGTGGAGTTGTGATTTGATTAGCACATGATTTTCCTTCCCTGAATCCAGCTTGTTTCGGGTTGCAGGGTTGAAGTTTTGCATCTAGTGCATTTTTTATTCTTTCCAGGATGACGCGACCTAATATTTTACTTGGCATTATTCCACGGCAGTTCTTGCACAGGCCTAAGTCACCTTTCTTTGGTAGCTTGACAAAATAGCCAGCCTTTCTTCCAATAAGTAGGAACTTTTCCTTCTTTCAAAACCTTTTGCAATAATGGCGTGAGAACATCTACCGCAGTCTCTGTATCCGTCTACAGTTCTTCGGGCGGGGAGAAATCCGTCTGTTCCTGTTGCCTTCTCGACTGGACTTCAGCAGCTTGATCGCACTTAAGATTTCTGCTTTCGTTGGATGATTGACGTCCACTGACAGGCGGTTCTGTGTGCGCTGCTGATGGTGGTGGTAGTTTTGGACGAGTTCCAGGTGATGGTCGATTTAAGAGCCCTTTAAAGTGATCAGCCCATTGTTTCAATCTGTTTTTTCTCCTTGATAATCAGATTCCCTTGAACATCTTTTATTGGTTTCACCATCTGGGTTGATCTCTTCCCGGTTACAGATTGACCTGGTTATCTAATATGATATTCTTAGGTCCCTTTTACCTGTGGCCTGCCGGTTCTGCTTCATTTGCCAGCCAGTGTGTCGTGCAATTATCTTTTGTCTTTCCGAGCACTCTTCTTCAATTCTTTATTTAGTACGGTGTACACTGAACTCAAATTCTCCTTCTGATGCCCATCTTTGCATTGAGTCATCTTCACTTTCACCATACTCCTCTCCTCTTTTCTATTAAATTCCAGGTAGGTGTCTTTAAAGAGCCATTCCTTATTGTGTCTCTTCCTTCTTCCTAGAACAGTTGTACACCTTTCCCTGAACATCACCTTCAGAGAGTTCCAATGCTCTTCCTCTCAAGGAGAAATAATGATTATCATGATATTAGAACGGGATAAAATTAAGAGGTTTAGTATCAGTAAAGCTGTGCGTTGATCGAAATCGGAATTAATAACTTATAATTAGTCGATGAAAAAAAAACTTTCCCGTTGTTAAATTGTATCTTATTCAAAGATTACGTTCATATGCTACATTTCAGTTTCAAGTTAGTACATAATATTAGCAAAAGAAAGAAGGAAATGCTTCTAAAGCGAAGAAAATTGTAATTTTTGCTAACCTGAAACAGCCCATCGATTTTCTAAAACCAGATAAATGGGTAAGATGTAGATTAATAATTCACCGTAGAATTTAAGCTGACACACATCTTCGAACAGACTGATTAGTGTGTGAATGCATAACTTCCATATCTCGAAATAACACATTTATTAACTGACGTGTGCACTCTTCAGTGCTGTAAAACATATCCGGACTATTTCACACAGTGATATAACCAAGTTTCCCCTCGAAGTTGATTAAAACATTTACGGACAGAAGTGTTATTTACGCATAGTTTGCATACATGGGAAAACTGATGTTGCAAAACTGAAGAAAACTATTAAATTAATGGTTGTATCTAAAATTCATTTGTAAAACTAATAATTATATGACAAGTTGAAGGCATAGTTGTTTTTTTGGCTAAACTATGTCAAAATTGATGTAAATCTTCTTAGGTCTCTAAAGAAGTTTTTCACCTAACCGATTTACGTCAACAATCAACAATCTGTTAGAAATTCTGATTAAGCAACTGACTACACTGTCGAAAAGGTATCACGTATTAATACTGTTTTGTCATTGAGATATGAAAGCACAACTTCAGTCGTTCATAAATTTTGCGTATCCAATAGTTTACAAAATCAATGAATTTTAGGTTTGGTATGTGTCACATTAAAAGTTCTCTGATGTATGTTAAACTGCTGATCTGCTTCAGAACACTAGAAAGCTGAAGCATTCTGAAGAAATTGTGGTGTTTTAAATACTCCAATGTTCTGTGCTGGATACTTGAGAGCGACAATTCGTGTTTTAGAGATCAAGCAAGCTTCATTTTGAGGAGTTAAATCAATCGCTCACAAAAGACTTCTATTCTAAATATTAGAATGATATTTCCTGAAACATTTTGCAAATATATATATATATATACTTTGTCATCACATTTAATGACAGTCTGTCTGTCTGTTTGGATTCCACATAGAACTTGGCACCGAAGTACAGCAGTTCGAGTTGCTTCTTTCCAAATAGCACACAAAGATAGACACGAAGATGAGTAAAGAGAATTAATAGAGTTTCACAAGTATAAAAGTGAAACAGAATGGGTAAAGGTAGAAAGAAATATGAAAGATTACAGAGACTGAATACATCTGCGCCATTGACAACGATTTTGAGCCATGTCACCTATTGTCTCCAGCCATTGATTCCTAGAGTTCCGAGGGCCCCAACCCGGAAGTCTGCATCTCCCTACCTGACTGACTCAGTTTAACTGTCAAGGATTTCATGGATTGATGCCATGTTTTTGTTTGGCCACCACTTACTCTTTTCCAACCTGAACCTATATCAGCTAGTAATGCCCGTCGGGGGAGGCGATGGTTAGGCATGCGCACCACGTGACCTAGCCATCTCAATCTATGTAACTTTATAGCCTCGTCGATTGATTTTCCCTCTTTGCCCAACACTCTACGCCTAACGTCAACATTACTTACCTTATTAAACCACCTAACGTGAGACAGAGATCGCAGACATCTATGATCGAAAGCAGTCAACCTTTTCATGTCTTCAACTCGTATTGGCCATGTTTCAGAGCCATAGAGAAGGACGGAGCGAACTTCTGAGCAGTACACACGTCCCTTGGTTGATAACCGGATGTCACGCCTACGCCAGAGATGGTGTAAGTCAGCGAAAGCAGCTCGAGCTTTTCGGATCCGTGCTGAGATTTCATCGCCAATCAGTCCGTTGGTGCTGATACAACTTCCCAAATAGGTGAAGTGGTCAACATGTTCTATCACTTCACTCCCTATCACTAAATTAGGGTTGACGTAGTCCAGTCCTGTAGCAGCATCTTACATTTTACAGGGGCGAATCGCATGCCAAACATACGAAGATTGCTGCTCAAGGTGTTCAGAAGACTCTGCATTTTGTCAGCATCCTCCCCTAACAGGACTATGTCATCTGCATATTCTAAGTCCATAAGACTATTCCCTGGTAACAAGTCGATTCCTAAGTCATTACGTTCAGTTAAGGATACTTCCATCAGCATATCTATGATGAAGTTAAACAGAAATGGGGAAAGTGGACATCCCTGTCGGACACCACTGGTTGTTACCAATTCAGATGACAATTCCCCATAAGCCCTTACACGACTACGTGAGTTTGAATAGAGTGCCTTGATTAGTGCAATGTACTTTCTTGGCACTCCCTTCACAGTCAGACATTGCCATAGTACCTTTCGATCCACGGAGTCGAAGGCCGCCTTCAAGTCAAGAAATATGGCAATTGTTGGACGCCGAAAAGTGTGTCTATGTTCTAGAATCTGTCGAAGAGTGAAGATATGATCTATGCACCCTCTACCTGGTCTAAAGCCTGCTTGATTTTCCCTCGTCTGTTCCTCCCGAGTTCTGCTTAGTCTATGCATGATTACTGAGCCTAGGATTTTAGAGACTATGTTCGTTAGGCTGATCCCCCTATGATTATCACACGAGGACTTGTTTCCCTTCTTGAATATCGGTATAATAAGTGACTTACCCCAGTCTGATGGAACTGTCTCTGATTCCCAGACTTTGCCTAGTACCTCAGTTAATCTACAAACTAGTATGTCACCCCCATATTTAAACACCTCCGGAATAATTCCGTCGGGTCCTGCCGCTTTGCCTCGTTTCAAATTACTGATAGCTTTTGTGACCTCACTTACAGACGGCGGACCAGTGTCTATATCCCATTCGGGTGTGTGCTGGATGGCGGGGAGGTTCAGTGTGGCTGTAGGCAAGTTAAATTGTTCCTCAAAGTGTTCTTTCCAGCGTTCAAGGCGTCTATCCTGAGAGCTAATTAAGGAGCCATTTTTCTCAGAAATAGTCTCACTTATGATTTGCCTTCTCCCCCCGTTTCCCTGATGAGTCTAAAGAGTTGCCTAGTGTTGCCTATCGCCGATGCTTTTTCCATCTCTTTCGCCTTTGTCACCCACCACTGTTCACGGTCCTTGCGGAGACTTTTCGTAAGTTTCCTCTTGTGCAGCTTTCGCTCCTCATTGAATTCGGAGCTCGCCGGAATAAGTCTTCTAGCATCTATCAGTTCGGATGAGGCGGTAGAGATCCAACGGTTTTTACTCACCTTTGGATTTACCTTATTCACAGCTTTTACGGCTGTATCTATGGCTGACTGAATATTCTTCCAGGCAGGGCCGATAGCAACATTTTCCCATCAGTTAGAAATCGAATAACCCTTCCTATTCTTTGTAAAACTGTTGACTAAGAACTATAAAGTGTAACGAGCAGTATTGCCATTGACTGTCCACTTTCTTGCGTCATCAACTGTAACAGTCAAAATAAAATATAAGACAAAAACAAGGTGTGAATACCTACTTGAAAGTCTTCACGCAATCATCTCTTCAAAAAAGATTTTATCATTTTTTTATCATTATTTTAATAAATTTGCACATCTTTTTTCACTGATTTTTTATTTTGGTGTCTATGATGTGTAAACATTTCTTTCTCGCAGTAAAACAAAGATAAGCAACTACTGTGATAAACAACAGTATTTTATGAAATCGTAAATTTCAGTGCGACGGGTCATCTGCATACTCTACAAACACTGTTATTTATACAACGTTTTATAAGGTTAACACATATAAACACAGGAACATTGTTACAACAAATAAGTATCACTTTCGAAGTATATATCTAATCTGTGAGTAATGAGTTAAAATATGTTAGTGTCATTAAGAGGTGAATAATATTCATTAGGGCATATGAAAAGGAGTTATCATTGTAGAATTCATACAATTATAAACATCTAGATTTGATAGTATTGAAATGCAAGGAAACTTAGAAAAATATTTGACCTATATAAACCATGTAGGAGTAAACAACAAGATTGAAGGCTTTTTGGCCCGAACTCAGGAGGTAGTTTGAATACTCCTCATCAAGATTGTTAGTCAACTGTAATTTGTGACTTGCAGATGTGCTCAATATGCCAGATGGATAATTAAAATAACAGAAAAAGTCATTGTAAAGAAAGAAGGGAAGGGCAGGAAAATTATGACTGTAAAATGAAAGTATGCTACCACGGTAGATGTAGGCTAACTACTGTCTGTCTCCTTTTGTATACGTAAATTCAGCTGCTTTATTATGACTGTTCTAGCTTCAGCAAAATAAAAAGGTTTTCTATCACCTTTACCTATTGATTACTATTATGCCTTTACTCAATGTCACTGCATGATTACAGTCGAATAAATACGGTGTGACTAAGCTCCTTAGGATACCACCTATCCCCCTGTATCTCATCAGGTAGGACGAGAAGTCAATATAAAAAGTTATATGCTCGTACCACTAAGCACAGAAATGCTACAATACCCTATTTAGCCCGTACTTTATGTGATGAAGACTGTCTTAGACGTGAAACACATAAGTTACTATGTAATTAGCGCAGTAAATCGACCCTTTCATAGCTCATCTTTTTGTATTTTATGGTATCACACTTTGTGTTGTTTAATTATTACTCTGCTATTTTATTTTAGTTGGTATTACTATTATTACTACAATTTTATACTTTATGCATATTTTTCACCGTATTGCATACAGTATTTTGCTATGTAGCTGCTGTAACAATCGTTTTATTACTATTATCATGTAATGTGTATTTATAATATTTTTTTGTCGTTTTTGAGTAAATTAGATGCAATATTGTACTGAATGCTGAAAATTCCTTGCTGTATCATTAGTACTGTTTTTGGAAATAAAGCTATTATTATTATATTCCTTGGGACTAATACTTACTAGTTGTAACAATGCTCTTATGTTGTTGTGAGTATGTTAACTTCAAAACTTCGTATCAATAACAATGTTTGTAGAGTATTCAGCTGATGAGTTCTATGATTTGTATTGTAAACAAAATCTCAAATAGATGATAGATGGAATATCAGTATTTTTCTATATTTATATCTATCTAGTATTTAGATCGAATATCGAAATTTTATGTGCTTTAAATTATTATTATTATTATTATTTTGAGTCTGTAGAATAATTTGAAACTCATTAGTTCGAAACTTGTTTCACCGTTAAATATTTATGCGAAGCTATGGACATAAATTGTATCCTCATTCAAATTAATCAGTAAGATTTACATCTAGATTCGAGTCCTCATCAAGATTCAGTGCATACTGTGTGTCAGAACATTCATTAGTTACTTCTCCAAAGGCGTCCTAGAGACGCTTAGAGCTAATGGCTGGAGACTGTTGCTAACATAGTCGAAAGTCGTTCTCATAGACTTAGATACATTCATCCTTTATGAAGTCCTAGATCCATCATATTCTTGTTGTTCTCTATATACTTATCCCTTCTCCTGTACATATCCGTTTATAACAGTTCCTTTGAGTTTTTTTTTCTACATTCGTTTATTTTATAAAGTGTGCCAGTGTGACTTGGTACACTTTTGTGTAAAATTCTGAGTCAAAAATTCGGATTGACCCTACCAATGAGTCTTTATATTCAGAGTCTAATAGACTGTGATCAATGTGCAAGATATTTGCTTACTAAGCTTCATATTAGATTGCTGTGTGTATTCAACTTTGAAGTTATATCCTTACTTGTCTATTATATCATAGAGATTAAGTCCTAACTACTTATTCAGTAAACAATTTTACAAGGCTGTAATGCATATTAACACCAATGATGTGAACTCTTAAAACGCCCGCCACTCAGAAGAAAATGAGATAATCTATTTGAATTAAATCACTTGTTTGTTTGTTTGTTTTTGATTAACTTATTAAACTGTATCTTGATTTTAATGACTTTCCCAATCTTTTTTTGTTCTTGTCCCCTTTTTGTTTTGTTTTTTCACAGGTATCTCCACAATCAAAGGATACATTGAATTCAACATCAGATACTATGATTTGTCAATAATATTCTCCTTTTGATTTTCCTCTTTTCAATAATAATGTGCATACACAATTCCAAAAAGCCTTTCATTATAACATCACTCACTAATTCTGAGTAATAAAGTATGTACTCAGTAATTTTATGACTGTCTTATCTCTCAATACAAATAAATTACACATAGTTCTTTTTATGATTTCTTTTTGTTTGTTTTTAAGTAGTAGGACACTATACACCTTAAAATGCGCGTAATTAAATCACTGTGAGTGTTTGTCTGATGAATTTCCTCTCTTTTTGTTGTTGTTCATTTGACCTCACGTAATGACAGTGATTAAAATAACGCTCATACATAATGCCTATCATACATTAATTATCTGTATTCCTGATATGTTCTTTTACTAGTTAACGTTACAGAAAATCTCCTTCCTCTTTCTGTCAGTCAGTCAGGCAGTCAGTCAATCTATCTTTCTTCATGTTGATCCTTTTCCACTCACTCTTACGTTGAATTTGACGACTTTCGTTTTGCGTTCATTTCAACATCTGTATGTCTGTCTATGTATGTGTACGGTTGTAGATAAAATTATCACATTGGATTCTTTTTGCCATGTTAATTACTTTTCCTCTTGTAGTTTGTCAAAATTCAATGAGAAGTGTACTGACGTTGAACACTAATCAAGCAATACAGTTATTATTACTATTATTATATTTTGTCTTCATTTGTGTGTAATCTGTCATTAAATTATGTATATTGAATAATGGAAAAGGAGACAGCTCTCCTGATTGTGTGTGTGTGTGCTTTAGTGCTGTTTTCTTTCTCAGTGTATTATTATTATTATCATTAATCTGTTGGGGCTGTTAATTCTTTGTTTACTTTGAGATAATTGTTGTACCAGCAATAACCAGGTTGGATGATACAACATCTATTATGAATTTTTCACCTTTTTTTGTTTAAATGAAAACCCATATTTGTCTTCTTTACCGTTTGATTCAACGCCTTCATTGACTGTGTTGATCGTTATTGTACACATTTCTTCTTATTGGCAATATTTAGCCTATTTTCCTTTATATCTATCACTAAAAATTTCTTACTCTCTTGCCTATTGATTGATTCATTTCTGAACGACTGTATTTTCTCAAACTCTTCATGCATTTCACATACATAAATTACACACACACACACATACACACTTACCTACTCATTATTATTATTATTATTATTGTAATCATCATCACTATTGAGTTAAAATAATGTGTTACGTTATCTATCAGAGGCGCATCTATCTGTGAATTTTGTTTGTGAAAAAGAAATGGTGATGAGCGCTGATATCACCTATTGTTATTATTATTATTATTATGTTTGTTGGTGTTTGTACCTGATTAATGTGTATTTGATGATGATAATATTATTATTATTATTATTGTTATTAGGTGCAAACACTGTTGGCGTGCTATGTATTGTATTTTTAGACGTATTTTCTTCCTACTCTTACACTTTTCTTTTGTCGATATATTCACTCTACTACTCTTTCTGTATCTCATTGTGCAATACTACTAGTAATATGGTAGCTATATATTACCTTTCAGAAAAATAATTGCATTTTGTTTAATGCAACTTTGCTTATTTTGTTGTTCAGGAAGGTAGGTATATTTCCCCCTCCTTCTGTTCTTTCGCCTCTTGTTCACACACGTACCAGACAATGAAGACCAGTAGACATATGATAGTGATGCTGATGATGACGAAAATTAATCTGCATTTCTTTTCTTATTTACAGGAATCCTCTATCTCTTCCTTCCTTCCTTCCTTCCCTGCTTTATTTCTTTCTTTCTTGGCTTTTTCCATTGTGTAATATTATTTATGCTTATTGAATAATATCTGTCTACTAGAAGAATTCATTTCTTGACACTTTTCTATCATTATTATCATTTACTTGCCTTTTTTTGTTATCAGGATATCTATCTAGTTTTGTTTGTTCCATGTTGGTTCTCTTTATTCACATCAATTTTCTCCCTGTCCATCTCCCTTTCTCTCTCTCTCCCTCCCTCTTTCTGTCTTTTGTTTACTTGGTTGCCTTGATTTCCTGATTGATAACCACAGACATACATTATACTGATGACTCTAAGGGATATATATATATATAATTATGAAAATAAATATTAAAAAATAGTTCCTTTTATCGATCCCCTATGCTTTCTATGATCATGTAAATGTAATCAAACAGCAGAAAAATAAAAGTTATACAAGTTAGTGTAGGAAAAGACAGCACCTACCTGATATTTTTATGCAGAAAATCTTTGAAAGGTCTCCAGTTTTTTAGTTCAGTGAAGAGTTATTCGTTTTAGTGATATCATTTCTCAAGGTATACAAATGCATTTATATGAAGTAAATTTTCTTTAACAATAAAAGGAATGTTTCATTAGAATTGTAAATTTAGATAACAATTACATAATTTTCTATAGTTTGGTTTGTAAGGGTTAGTTATGTTTTTACGAGTTGATCACGGATTGATATCAGATAGAGACCATTGAAAACCAGGGAGTTCTGGACAGCTGCTCTTTCATCCTAGTTTGGAAATCATCGGAAGTAGGCACCTACTGGGATCCAAACCCATGACCTTCTGGTTACAAGGCCAGCGAGCTCGTATACCATTCAGCCACTGGGACCCGATCCAATGCTCAGCACATAAATTCTAACTTCTACCAATTCGTGATTAAGCGCAACCCCAACCATTGTTTTTGGCTAGACATCCATCCACACACGTGACATCTAGTTGGGCCTCACTGGTCACGACTTCCCACTAGAACTCCAGAAAACTCCGTGCTGTAGCAAGTCACAAGCGAGCAACAGATTAATTTTCTATAGTTTGGTTTGTAGGAGTTAGTTTTGTTTTTACGAGTTGATCATGGATTGATATCAGATAGAGAACCATTGAAAACCAGAGAGTACTGGACAGCTGCTGTTTCATCCTAGTTTGGGAATCATCGGAAGTACGCACATAACACAGAGGATGTTAACTGGGTTGAAACCAAAATATAAGTGGGCAAATTTAGTAATGTAATGTAACTTAAGATACTGAGTAGAAATATAATAGTAGAGGGAGGGGAAAGAAAATATAATTGAAAAAAATCTCGTCGATGGATATATAATTCTTATTAACCCTAATTTTTTATTATTATTATTATTGTATCCTTTAGTTTCCAGAGGAACATAGGGCTTCAGCTGCGCACCTCCATTGACTTCGGTTTTCTGACAACTTTTTCAACCTGCTCCAGGTCTGTCCACATGCTTTCATCTCCTCCTCGCATGACCTCCTCCAAGTCACCCTTGGACGACCAACTCGCCGCCTCCCTTTCGGGTTCCACTCGAGTGATGGCTTGTCTAGTGATGTCACTTGATGGTTTCCTCAGCGTATGGCCAATCCATCTCCATTTCTTTCTGCCTATTTGTTTCACAATCGGTTCCTGATTGGTTCGCTCCCAGAGATCCCTGTTGCTGATCTTATCTGGCCATCTGATCTTGAGTATTGAGCGGAGACAGTTGTTAATGAAGGTTTGAAGTTTGTTTGAGATGCTCTTTATGACTCGCCAAGTCTCTGATCCGTATAGTAGCACTGACTTCACATTGGAGTTGAAAATCCGGATCTTATTTTTGATGCTGATTGCTGTTGACCTCCACACAGATTATATATGTTTCTCCCCTTCCCTCTACTATTACATTTTTACTCCTTATGGCATCAATCTTAAGTTGACTCTCTTTCAATTTTTTGGTGACTTCTGCTCAATCCCAACAATTACATTACGTCATGTAATTCGCTTATTTTGGTTTTAGTTTCTGCTCAATTAACGAACGCCCTCTGTATTATGTAATTGCTATCTAAATTTACAATTCTAATGAAACATTCTCTTTATTGCTAAGAAAATTTACTATTATATAAAGGCGTTTGTACACCTACCTTGAGAACGATATCACTGAAAAAAGTAGCCCTTTCTCGAACACCTTTAGGTTTTGTTTACTAACACTCCTTTATGAACTGAGTACAGCTTTTACATGGTAACGTGAATTTATTTTCTTTCATAGAGACTTCACCAGCTAAGTACACTATGTATCATAAAATACATAAGCAATCGCTGTGATAAATTTTATTAATGATAATAATAATATTTTCTCATTTTTTGTACATCAGGGACGCTGCTTTACAGGCATCAACAATATGATAAATTATATATACAAGGAGTAAGCATATTTAAAATTATTCACTTACACAAGATATACATAGGAAAAGTTAATAGAATAATGCCTATAATGTCACTTTACACAGGCCGTAGACATATACTCAGTATAATACAAAGCATCTCGATTGAAGAAATTTAACTAAAATGCGCGTCATAGTTGTTAGTTGCGTTACTGGGGATAGGTATAATAGGTTATTCATAAAGTGATGGAATTGTTTTGTAAAACGTTAGTTAGTTCACCGATAATAATGTTTTTAGCAATATTAACTGCCAGTGACTCACCCCCGCAGCAGTAAGTGTTGGGTTAAACATACAAAGAAGTATTCTTACAGCAACAGGTAATTTTGAGTCCATACGCGGCTAGGAACCAGAATGATGGCGAGCTAATCCTTAAAAAATGATGACAATTGGAGTATGTAGGAGCTGGAAGTTGTCATTACGCGAATCAGTGAAATTATAAATGCATTTATCAGGACATATTCATTATTTGTTAAATGGCCAGATTTAAATGAATATTGCATCGATTTCGGAAGAGTAGAATAAAACATCAAACTATATAGGAATTTGGAACAATAAAATGAGTGATCAAAGCATGAATATGCTTATATTGTAGGGAGTGGAATGTACTAAAAATTCAGGCACAAGTGGAAACAGTTACGCAATTATGGGGAAGGCTTGTTCAAGCCAAGTGAGAGAGAAGTTATTGGTAGGAAATAAAAACAGAAGGTTGAGGTAAACTATTACTTATTATTACCCTGGTGACCACTGATTCTTTAATATTATCTATTCGAATAATTTCCTTTTTCTATATCCCAACTGTTTTCAGAAATGTCATTCTCAACACTTACTTCTCCCTCTCTCGCTGTTCTTGGGTAACTTCTTTCGTATAATCGTGTAACTATCTCTACTTATGCTTAAATTCGCTATCCGATTTCAAAATATTCCACTCCCTACAACATAAGAATATTCGTGCTTTGATCACCGTTTTTATTCTTCTGACTTTCTCTGTAGTCTTTCTTTATTTCACCCTTCGGAAATTGACTAACCATTCATTTAAAGTGTGTCAAATAGTATGTCGCGGTGATTGCTTACGTAGTTTATTATTCAGGAGGTACTCAGATGTTGAGAACCGTATGAAAGACGATTAAATTACCCTATCATTGTGCTATTCAAGCATTTAACCAGTCAGATTGAATGTACGTTATTATAAGTCAAATAAACTTTATCTAAAAAGGAGAATAAAATATGCACTGGATGCAGAACTCCGCTCCCCCCTCCCACCGGGAACAAGCTAGATTCATTAGGGAAAAATCATGTGCTGACCAAATTGCAACTCAACGCATCATCATCTCAGAACAAAGCATAAAATGTCAGTAAAACCTCCGTCTACCTCAACTACATCAACTTCGAAAAGGCATTCGACAGAAAGCATCGACGAGGAAGTAATTTGAAAACTACTTCAGCACTACGGCGTACAGTGCCCAAGTGTTAATCAACCTCATTCAACAACTGGGTATACAACAATGTCACGTGTCAGGTGAACCATAATGGAAAACTCAGTGAAGCGTTCGAATCGAATACAGGAGTAAGACAAGTCTGTCTTCCTATAATCACCGATGATATTCCTTATTGTGGTAGACCGGGTAATGCGGAACATCGTGCATGAGGAGCGAGAGTACAGGAACACGGTGAACCAATAAGAAGACTGTAGAAGATCTGGATTCCGTGTGTGGATGATTTATGTCCAATATCATACAAACTCGAAAACTTACAGGCGAAAAGTAACAAACTAGCTGAGGAAGTTGGCAATGAAGACAAGACTCCAGGTGTACATAGGGAAGAGGGAGATGATGAAGATAACCAACCACCAACAACAACAACCACGACAACCAGTATCAATCACCATCAACGGGAGAGATTTAACAGACGTTACTTCCTGGATTCACTTATCTAAGAAGCATCGTTTGGATTACTAGCTAGAAGGATAAGGACGTCAAAGTCAGCCTGAATCGGAAAGGCAAGATACGCCTTCATCATTCTGAAACCAGTTTAAAAATCTTCTGCTTCACTCAGCCAGCATAAAGAACAAGATTCACATTTTCACGACACAAATGTGAAGTTAATGAATTCTTCTATATGGGTCAGAAACGTGCACTGCGCATCACGAAAATGATTTCCAACAGGCCGCTTCAGACTTTTATCAACAGCTACCACCTTTGCTGGCGACATACTGAAGATCAAATTGCCGACCAGCTGGCTAGAAAGAATCAACAACAAGAATCTCTGATTGGGAATAAACCAACCAAGAGTTGATTACTCAACAAAAATGTAGAAGAAAATGGAGATGGAGGAGACTTTCGAATGACATCGCGTGGAATACAGGCCAACGCTCAAGTGGAATCCGAATAGGAGGCGATGAGTGGGTTGTCAGTGAGGGGGTGACATGGAGGATATTGTGTGGCAAGGAGGAGGAGGAGATGAGAGATTATGGGCATTCGTGGACCCAGTTGAAGAGGATGGCAGGAAACAGAACGAAGTGAGAATGTATTGTGGAAGGCCTATGTTTCACTTGGAACCCAAGGGAATAATAATAAGCTATTTGTCCCATAGTATTTTGGTATTCATATTTCAGTTGGTCAAGAGGCTCTATTTCTTGAGTAGTGTTTATATACTACTTAAAATTATTTTGCTTCAAATAAAAAACAATCAACATTTATGTATTCACGACCGTAGGAACAATTATTAACTGTTGATTTCCTCTTCAGGTTTTACACTGATAAATCCATGAATATTAGAACACAACAGCCTATGAAAATTTTATCGGAAACTCTATTGGGGTGCAATTACAAGATGGAATAATAGTCCGTCGATTTTGAATTTAGCTTAAAAACATCTCAAATGCACATTTAATGAGAGCATAAGATAAAATGAGAATTAACGATTCAGTGAGGTGATTGTGTATTTATTATCAACGAATCTCCATTATGTCTAAAATGTAAGTACCAAGGGGTGGGGGGTGATTCCATTCAGTGGTGTGAGAGACATATAGATACCACAAAAAATATAAGCAAATGAATGAGGTATGCTGAAGCTAAGCCCTAAGGGAAACAAAATAACAAACATGATGGAAGAATATAGTGGTCATAAACTGAACTGTGGTCAAATAATGGAGACACGATAAGTTTAGTGTAATTCCAACGGGTGACAAATAATAATAATAATAATGTAAAATTAGCTGTGTGACTCTCGTAGTCCAAGTGGTTCAGTGGATAGCGTTTTGGCGTTTGAAACGATAGGGACTGGATTCAAATCCCAATGGGAACACCATCAATCATTAAGGATTGCAGGCTCAGCCATCTGACAAGTCCTAAATAGAATGAAAAGCACATGCTGGATTCCACTACTACTCTCCATCCACTAAATTACTCTCGGTGAAAATGAGTCTGGAGTGATAGGTAGTGAGAAGACAAAAAAGGTGTAACATAACTTCGTCCATAACGACTTTAGGGTAGGCCAAGGTAAACATATGTGACCACGCTTTTTTCGAAGATAGATTAAGTGTTTTCTAAATGAGATGTATTCACCCACCTTTAGTTGGATTGTTTGGCACCCAGTATATGTAAATGCCTCTTCTATGTTGATGTAGTGTTCACTATCCACAAAATGAGATAAGATGACACTTTAACTGCTAAGTCATTTTCCAAACTAGTCAGATGACAGTTTTCTAATAGCTAGACCTGATAAGAGTATAGGCAATAGATAGATGTAACTACATTAAAATAAATGAACACCTTAGTCGCGTTGATCTTTCCAAATTTGCTTGTAGTAAAGACTTGAATGAATTTATTCAGGGAATATAGAAACAGTGGGTTACTGCGAAGAAATATTTATTACCTTGTAGAGTTTCCTCTCCTTTGGTGGAAAACTGATTTATATATATATATATATATATATATATATATATCCATAAATTAATCCTAAACTAAACATTTATACTCAACGCTTTAATGTGATAGGTAATACTACCTACTAGACTACAAGCAATACGAACCCCACGTGCCAGTGGAACTACTCTGATCACTACTCATAATGTCGACCATAACATCTCAACAACTACAACACTATCACCGCGTGAAA